GAGATCGGTAATTATATGTGTTCCTGCTGTGACAGTGTTAATATACTGTAATTCACAAGAATGCACGTGCTACATTTTTATATTCGGCAAGGAAAGATGATGTAATCGGCATGACTGTGTTACGTTATACATACGTGTACATTATATTGTTTTATATTGTTGGCTGACAGCGTTCATGCAAGATGTCTCGAAAGTGTGTAAACAATCCAGATCATTTTTGTTACGTGTGTGGTGATGTGTCTTTTGCGTCTCAGAGACGGTCTATTACTCCACTAATAACAAAGGCATATCAGCTTTATTTCGGTTGTAAACTAGGTGATCAAGACAAACAGTGGGCACCCCACATCTGCTGTAATACATGTGCTTTCCAAGTCTGAGGAGCTGGTTAAATGGCAAAAAACGGTCTATGCGCTTTGCTGTCCCAATGGTTTGGAGAGAGCCTACAAATCATATTAATGATTGTTACTTTTGCATGGTACCTTGTGTTGGACAAGCCACAGGTATGTCCAAGAAAAAAAAATCGGTTATTAACTACCCAAACATACCATCTGCGATGAGACCTGTGCCTCACAGTGACGAAAATCCTATTCCAAAACCCCCAGAATCCTACACTTGCGAATCAGATCATGGCGATCGAGTGATTCGTCAGGAAGAAGATATGCCATCAACGTCAAGAGATCCTGATTTTATACCGAGCACGTCATGCCACCAACCGCACAAAATAACACAGTCAGAATTAAATGATCTTGTAAGAGATTTAGAACTTCCAAAATGTAAGGCAGAGTTACTTGGATCAAGACTGCAGCAGTGGAACTTGTTAGAAGACGATGTTTCGGTATGTGTTTTTCGTAAACGCCACAAAGACTTAGAACCACTTTTCAATATGGAGAATAACTTGGTTTTCTGCAGTAACATTAACGGCCTACTGGCGGCTTTAAATATAAACTATAACCCAGAAGAATGGAGATTGTTTATAGACAGTTCAACATTGGGTTTAAAGGCAGTGTTATTGCATATTGGAAATATTTTACCATCTCTTCCTGTAGGGTATGCAGTTCACATGAAAGAATCATATGACGATATGAAGTACCTATTGACATGCATCAAATACGATGAGCACCAATGGCATATTTGTGGCGATTTGAAAGTTGTTGCACTTTTACTTGGGCTGCAGCTAGGGTACACAAAGTTTTGCTGTTTTTTGTGTGAATGGGACAGTCGGGCAAAGGCACTTCATTACACCAGACATAACTGGCCTGTTCGTCAATTCCTAGAGCCAGGTCAAAAAAATGTACAGCATATGCCATTAGTAGATTCGAAAAAAATTTTACTACCACCACTGCATATCAAGTTGGGCCTAATGAAAAACTTTGTCAAGGCATTAGATAGAGATGGGTCAGCTTTTCAATACCTGCGTCAGAAATTTCCAAGACTAAGTGAGGCAAAGGTTAAAGAAGGTATTTTTGTTGGGCCACAGATTCGAAATATTTTGAAAGATACACAGTTTGAAAACACTTTAACAGGTATTGGAAAAGGTGCTTGGAATGATTTCCGTCTGGTGATCACTAATTTCTTAGGAAATAGAAAAGCTGACAACTATAAAACCCTTGTCAAAAATATGCTGTCATCGTATCAAAAGATGGGCTGTAATATGTCTCTTAAGATACATTTCCTACACTCACACATGGACTTTTTTCCTGACAATTGCGGAGCCGTAAGTGATGAGCACGGCGAACGTTTTCATCAAGATATTTCAACAATGGAAAAAAGGTACCAGGGAAAGTGGAATCCTTCCATGCTTGCAGACTACTGTTGGATTCTTGGTAGAGATGCTCCAGAAACGATCCATAAAAGAACAGCAAAAAGACAGCGCATATAGTGATTCTTATAAGTATATGAATCTTGTTACTTTTTTTAATATATCCTTAAAAATAAAAAGTTTTTTTTCTAAACCGCAACTAATTTTTTTATTTCATTGTCATTTTTGGATTCAGCGCCCCAAAATTAACAAAGAAGTGCACTTTTCCCACAAGATACAATTAAATAACTAAAATTTGTTGTCCAGTGTTATTGGACCATCCTCCACATAGTCCCGATCTAAGAAATCGTTAGTTCTTTACTTTCCCGAAAATTAAAAACAGACTGCGTGGTCAAAGGTTCCAGTGACCAGAAGAAGCAGTTGACGCATTCAAAAATGCCGTTTTGGATCTGCCACCAAACGAGTGGAATAAGTGCTTCGAAAATTGGTTCGAGCGCATGCAGATGTGTATTAATCTTCGTGGAGAATACTTCGAAAAACAATAAAGTCATTTAAAACTACCTACCGTGTTGTTTTATTTCCATATGCAAAACTTAAAAGACATCCCTCGTAGTGATGAATCCAGATTCTGTTTTGGGATGCATGATGGACGTGCAATACGGGATTCTCAGTTTTCTATGGAAACACATGTTCATCACATTATTGGAATTATAGTATCGGCGGCTAGTGCTTATAGAAGCAGGTCACCTTTAGGCAGCAGCACTGCCGTACGATACATCCAGGACATGAGGGGACCACGTATTTTGCCTTATATACGAACGCTCAAAAACTCAGTTTTTTCTATGTATTACCAAAAAATCGAAACAAGCTTTCAAACTTCCATCTGAGTGTGTGTACAGTCTCATTTTTTTCATTTTCAGCCATTCCTTTTTTTCGCTACTCATTTTTGCCCATCAGAATTGCGTAGGTTTGTTTATATAGTGCAAAAGCCATCTGGGTTAACGGGTTAACACAGTAGAAGACGTAGACAGTCCCAAATGCATTTGCAAATTTAGGAAAAAATAAGCAAATTCATGTTTTTGAATCGAACAGCGTCAACTTCAGGCAGTACATACAAAACATGCTGTACCAAATAAATAGTGAGTATTTTTTAAGTTTTCAGTGCTATTAAGTTTGTTATTTCAAACATAGCTGTTTCTGAAAAAGAAAGTCCAAACTTTCAGGACACCCTGTATAGTCTGGAACATCTTGTATAATACCCTTACCTGTAGCGATCTTTCTCGCAGCAGTGGTGGTGATGATCTTTTTTCCTCTCAAAGTATCCAAAATCTTGCTGAACAACAAAGTGAAAAGCCACATGCACAAGAATGGTACTGCCGTGACTACTGCGTTTTCGGAAATCTTGAAATTCAGTACTGATTTCATGTAGAGTGGCAGTTCTATGAGCACCATGTACCAGCCCCAATTCGAGCATGTGTGAGCTATAAGGATAGCGAGGAACGCTGGGGAAGTTAGTACTGCCTTCCATGGCATTTTTAGTTTTTCCTGAAAGGTTGTAGAAAAGTGTTTCTATAGGCATATACAGGGTGACTTCGAAGTTGAGTCATTTATTTTAACAGTGTGTAGATCTGATCAAAAGAAATGTTTTTTTCCTTTACCATTTTTCTGGTAAAATTAAAGTAACAAAGTTATAGCCCTTTGGAAGTTTGAGTACCGCCCTGTCTCAATAATAATATCATGTGCTCGTGTTTGGCAACAACGGTTCATCGCATCGGAAACAAAAAAGCGAAAGAATTTGGAACGATGTTTTTACGATTACAATTCAGTTCAGTTATACATACAGTCAGTTTCAGTCGCGTGTGAATAGTGTCTGTTGCGTGGCTCAAACGAAATAAAAAATGGCACATGTTTATGCGGATCGGTTTCCCAATCGAGTGCAACCAACCCCTCGTGCCTTTGTTAATGTAGTACAACGGGCTCGTGAATCAGGTGACTTAAGACCTCACAGGGGACCTCACGATCAAATACAGGTCCGCACTGAAATACTTGTCGGGAGGATACTTTATAAAACAAGGTAAAATTTTTTTTTTATTTTTACACACATATTTTGGTTTATCTTCCTTCTACAATCATTATCTGAAAATTAATGACTCAACTTCAAAGTCACCCTGTATAGGTACTAGGTGTTTTTGAGAAAAGGATCGTTTCCTTTATGGTGAGATGCAATTTATAATAACTCGATATATTTGACTTTGATAGTCGAAAATGTAGCAGATTTATATATATATATATATATATATACAGGGTTATCCAAATTAAGTGTCCACCATTAGTAACTTTGTTATTAGTGAAAATACAAAGTTGTTTGAATTAGCAAACTAGTAGCATTTTTAACGCTGGTAAAAATGAGAAATAAAAAAAAACAATTGAGAGTCGTTATTTTGATTTTTTTCAGTAAAATAACATTTTTTTAAATGGAAACCCCTGTATATTATATTTTTTTCTGTTAAAGCATCAAATTTTAAACAAAAAAGTTCATAATGACTTTTCCGCTAAAGTCAAAAATAAAGTCAAAATAACGATAAATATTTTTAATTATTTGCAGTATTATAATATTAAGACGGCTATGAAAACAACATGGCGTTCGCGATTTGACAGCATTAAGATAAGCGACAAATTGTTAAACTGGACATACTCGCAACTAGAAGGCTTTGGAAAACAATGATAAAATCAAATAATGTCAAACATTAGTGTAAATACTTGTTTATAAGCTTTATTGTGTCATTAATTTAAAGAAAAATGTTCTCCCATGAAGAAAAGTGTGATATGTTAGAATGCTATTTAGTGTGCAGAAAATCCTCCTTGAGAGCAAGAGAATACTACAGTGAATTATATCCCGCTCGCATTCAACCGTATGATCGATATTTTCTGAGACTTTATCGAAAATTTAGGGGCAACGAAAATGTTTTTGCTAAAACAAGGGCAAAAAAAGAATTCATAATAAGCGAGGCCACGGAAATTGCAGTTATTGGATATTTTGAAGCTTATCGTGAGAATTCAATAGCAGATATTCTCAAGGACTCTAATTTCAGTTATGGTACTGTTCAAAGGATTTTAAAAAAATACAAATTTATTCCGTATAAGTACCGACCAGTTCAAACGCTTTTGGCAGGGGATCCAGAGAGAAGACTTGTTTTTTGCCATTGGTATCTTAGCTTCTGTCGCCAAAATGTAAATAACTTTCGTTACCTTTTATGGACAGATGAATCAAATTTTTCAAATTCTGGAATGTTTAATAGAAAAAACCACCATTATTGGTCAAGAGAAAATCTTTCGTTAGTACATCCAAGAGGCCCACAAGTCCGTTTCAGTTTCAACGTTTGGTGCGGTATAATTGGTTCAAAAATTGTTGGCCCGTTCTTTTATGAGGGAACCCTAACTGGTGAAAGATATGTGGAATTTATGTCAGAAATTCTGACTAATTTCTTAGACGAATTGGATCTTATAAGTAGACATCATCTGCATTTTCAGCAAGATGGCGCACCTGCCCACAACTCCAGAGGTACTTATCATTTTCTAAGTACTACTTTTAATGATCAGTGGATAGGAACAAATGGCCCAATACAGTGGCCTCCCAGATCACCAGATCTAAACCCACTTGATTACTTCTTGTGGGGTTACTTAAAGAACCAAATTTACAAGCGAAGGTACGATAACCTTGACGCGTTAAAGACTGCAGTTAGGGAAAAGATAACCCAGATAGATGGTAGGACCATACTTAAGACAGTTCGAGCAGTTGAAAAACGTGCCCAAAAATGTATTGAAGAACAAGGTGGTGTTTTCGAGCATCTTCTTTAAAAAAAATTGTTATTGTATTTTGTAAGATTATAAGTTGATGTTGAAAATAAAGTTTGTCGATACAATTTAATTGTTTCAGATTGGAGGCCATAACTTCAACAATTTGTAACCTAGGAGAAAAGTTATTGTGAGCTTTTTTGTTTAAAATTTGATGCTTTAACAGAAAAAAATATAATATACAGGGGTTTCCATTTAAAAAAATGTTATTTTACTGAAAAAAATCAAAATAACGACTCTCAATTGTTTTTTTTATTTCTCATTTTTACCAGCGTTAAAAATGCTACTAGTTTGCTAATTCAAACAACTTTGTATTTTCACTAATAACAAAGTTACTAATGGTGGACACTTAATTTGGATAACCCAGTATATATATTATATATTCTATGAACTATATTTAGATGACTGAGGCATAATACCTTGTGTTTAACCTCCTCTTTGCCCTGATTCAAGGACTTGACAATATAGTCCCTCTCTTCCTCACTGATGAACCTCTGCGATTGTGGAGTATCTGCTGTCAAAGTCATCCACAGTATGAGCCAGATCAAGCTGACTCCTCCTTCTATGTAGAATACTGCCTCCCAGCTTATGGAAGCTGCTATCAAGCCAGATACCAGCATGAATATCTATCAAAATGTAAAACAATATTAGTTTTTCTACAACATTCTAACGGAAAATATAGTTGCGGTGAAAATTGCAACGAAGTTATTGGGTTCCAAAGAATTGATTATTGATTATCGTATTCCAGCTGAAGGTAGCCAAGAATGAACTGTATTTTGGCGTCCAAAAATTATGTGTGAGATTTTTTCACAGCTATGTTTCTTTTTTTGAAATTAGATATCTACTTAGAAAAAATTAGTGACTCATAGATGGTGTAGAAGGTAACTATACAAGGTGTCCGCAAAGTTGGGGTTTTCCTTTACACGACGTGTAGATCTTGAAAACATAAGCAATTTTTCTTAGTACCAGATACACCAATGTCTTAAGGGAACCGAGATAAAGGGCTCTGCAACATCAAAAATATCTGAATACCGTCCTGTAGTCGCGACATCCCCGAGTGGTACTAGGACACTAGCTCAACCCGACGACAGAACTGGGTCGGGGTCAGTGTGTCAGGTCAGTATGCAACCTTTAACCGACGGTTACGGTCACGCGTGTAGAGGTAATCGCGTAGACGAGAATCCCTCAACAAGCACTAGAGACGTGGCTAGAGGAGTGCAAGTATCAAAAACTAAAGTGTGGCAAACGCTGCGTGAAGAGGGGCTGTATCCGTTTCACGTCCAACGTGTACAAGCCCCTCAACCTGACGATTTTCCAGCAAGAGTGCGGTTTTGTGACTGGTTGTTGCATCAACATAACAATAATCCGGACTTTTTGAAGTGCTTATTGGTGACAGACGAATCTACTTTCACGCGTAATGGGGTGAATAACTTTCGCAACACTCATGTTTGGTCAGTAGAAAATCCGCACGCTGTCCGTCGGGCACATTTTCAACAAACATTTTCGGTGAATGTTTGGGCTGGCATGGTGAATGGTATGCTCATTGGATCATTTATTCTCCCAAATCGATTGGACGGGATGTAATACCTAGACTTTTTACGCAACATTTTGCCTTCCTTGTTTGCCTGCGTCTGCTCGGTAGCGCATCAGCTGATTTCATTTTCTGTTGGAGCGGTATGATTTCGGGCAGAGACGTACTTAGCCCTTCTCGTCAACTGGAGAGTGAGTATTTTTTCCTTTATTTTTTTTTACTTGGTCGCCCTCGTTTCACTACACATTACCTTTGTTATTTCAAGGGTAGTTGTTTCTGAAAAGGACAACCCCAACTTTGCGGTCACCCTGTACGCTCATACACTCGTAATGTATAAAATATATAATTATTTCAACTTTGCAGTTTTGATTCCTGACCGTTGATATCAATTCAAATTATAAATCCTTGGGGTCGGTCAACATGAAAAATTTATCAAAAATACTCTCTATCTTCTGGCACATGAGTTTCTAGAGTAGACCTGCCTGTGTGATAGGGTCCCGAGACTGTCAGTTAGAGAAGAGTCATCGATCAGTCGGACAACACTACTCTAATCAGCATGGAGGACGGATAATGTCATCGGGGCGGCAGCACCCCAAGGGAGTAGAAAAGATCGTCGTAGAGTACTTACCACAGTGCCGAGTGCCGTTCCCGCATACACGATACTGCTCATGACACTCCTCTCGCAAGGCGGTGCCCAATGCGCCAACATAACATGCATCGCGGGGAAGGTGACTCCGCCTCCTATCCCCTCCCCAACGCGCATGGCCAATAGCGCGCCGAAGTGAAGTCGGGCAGCCAATGGCGTCAACAGGGTGCATAGGGCGTTGATCGCTACCGAGAAGAACATCACCCATTTGGCGCTGGAGAGTTCGGCGATACGGCCGCCGGGGATTTGCGCTACGATGTAACCCCAGAAATAGGCGCTGAGAAGGAGGCCTTGGATGGGGGCGGGCCATGGAAAGGGGCCATCCTAAAAGAAATTGGATTGTTCTAGATTTTACAATACAGTGGACAGGGGCGTAGCTATCCTAGGGCAAACCGGGGCATGTTTATTTTTTAAAATGCTACATATTTGAGGAAAACGCTTGCGTTCCTAAATGTATGTAGCTATAATCCGTCGGACCGCGACGGGCTTGGCTCCACCGCCTTAATATTACGTCTCGTCTGGGGATTCCCCGATCTATTGTTTTGATGATTTCGACTACCCAACGTGCCCTATGTGATATTGATATGTGTCGTAGTCGTGCCGTGGTGCCCGGCGTGGTGTAAAATAACATTACTATATTTGCATTGTGACTATTGTGTATCGTTATAATAAGGTACCTATTAGAAAAAAAGGTAAGTGTAAGTTATATTACTTAATGAATAAATGGCTCGATTTTGATTTGTGCGTAATTTTGTTTGTAAATGTACATTTGTCCATTACCTTGCTGAGTAAAGGCGCCCGCAGAATTTCCGTAACGTAAGACTTAAGAGTTAAGTTTCATTTAAGACAGATTAAGACTTAACCGCAAGGAATTATACATAATTCTGATCAGGTGATTTATAAAGTATAGTCAAGACTTAAGGCATGAGAAATTACGTTACAGCTTCAGTCTGGGCTTAAGTCTTATGTTACGGAAACTCTGCGGGCACCTTAAACCCGACACTAAATTCGAAAAGATACTTAAAGACTAAAAATGATCTATTGACTGTTTCAAAAATATCGACTATTTTTTTTTTCTCTTAAGTATATAGTATTTCGAACAAATTGTTAGAAATGACGAAAAAAAATCCTGTAAAAGTTACAGCTCTTTAACATTTCTTCATTAACATGGGAAAAAAATTATTTTCAACTTTTGAATTTTTTTCTCATTACTAAATTATCAAACGGATGAGATCATAGTTTACTCTTGTAGGGAATTGAATGCTTTACAAAAAAGGTCTTTTACAATTTTCCGATAAACCTATTCGTTCAAAAGTTTTTCGAGGGAAATTGAAATTTGCGATGCGGCACCACTTAATATTAATATTAAGAGCTGTTACTTTTACAGGATTTTTTTTCATCATTTCTAACAATATTTTCGACGTACTTGAGAGAAAAAAATAGACGATTTTTTTGAAAGTCTAATTGATACACAACTATCGAACTATTTAATGCATTTAAAAATGGTTGTGTATTCTTCTCTTTGCAGAATTAGCAGATTGCGGAACAAAACGCTAAAAAAATAAAAATGGAAGATAAGCGGAAATATCAGTCTGGAGCACAGAAACGAAAATTGAAATTAGAAAAAGAGAAAAAATTAAAAAAGTATGCTGAAAAAGAACAAGTAACTATGCAAAATATATATTCTTTTTTTGGTTTAAGTATTGATAGATGGGATCTTTTAGCTTCTTTTACCAGTGAATCCAAAACAACTTTAAAAACATTAAATCCAACTCGTTGGTCAGGAAGGATATTGTCTATTAGTGCTGCCAAACTTCGTTATTTTGATATTATTAAATCTTTAACAGAAATAGAGTTACAGTCTCATAAAAAAGTAGTAGGAGAAGAAGCTTCTTCCATTAAAAAACAAATGTGTTGCTTTGAATTTGTATTTATTTGAACAATGTTGTATAAAATCTTTACCCAGGTTAACTCAAAGGTTCTTCAAAAGAAAAATATTGATTTAAGTGAATCTGTGACTGTTTTAGAACAAGTAGATAAGAACCTTACTGACTTAAGATCTTCTTAGGAAATTTTAATGATTGAAGCTACGGAACTGGCTAACAAATGGAATATTCAACCGGAATTCAGGCAAAAATGTCAATCTAAAGTTAAAAAATACTCTTAAGTGATTACAGATTTAATAATACTCAAATTTTATTTAAAATAAATGTTTTTAATGTTGTTATGAACCGTGTTCTGACACAGATTTCTAATAGATTTAGGAGCATGAAAAAAATTAATAAATTGTTTGATTTACTTCTTCCAAAAATTATATTAAGTTGCGATGAAACATCCATTAAAAATAAATGTACAGCCATTTATAACAAATATCCTGAAATATTTGATTTAAATAATTTAATATTTCAGTATACCAATTTGTTAAATATTTGTAAAAGAGACCTTAAGAAGGATCTATCAATTAACGAATATTTCAATATAATTTTAAGTAAGTATGGGGTACTTGAAAGCGACTTAAGTGAAGTTTACTTAATGTTCCTTTTATTTTTTTACGTTGCCTGTAACTACTGCATTTGTTGAAAGATCATTTAACAAGCTAAAACTTGTAAAAAACTATCTTAGGTCTACTACAGGCCGGATTAGATTGAGCGATCTTGCTTTGCTCTCTATAGAGAATGCAGAAGCCCAAAACCTTGATATAAATGATATTATCAACGAACTTGCAAATAGAAAAGCAAGAAAAAGCGATTTTCGATTTTATTATTGTTTAATTTTTGACTTTTGTTATTTCATTATTTTAATTTGTGTTACTTTTTGTTTTTATGACATTAAACAATTTTTTTATTATAACATGATATTTTTTATTCTTAAACATACTCATGGGGGCCCCCAAAGAATGTTTGCCCTGGGGCCCCATGACTTCTAGCTACGCCACTGACAGTGGACCCGCGGTAATTTAACAAATGCTTTGCAGGGCGATGTCGGTTTATAGAGTACTGCCTAAGACCCTCTAGTACAGATTTTTTTTTTTGAGTACCTTGTAATCCGACAAATCAAATAATTTATTTGAATTACGAATCATACTACATCATTATGTATTTCATTGATATGTAGAGGAAAGTAGCCTAATACCGCATAGGTTCCTAATATCGGATATTGCTATATTTCTTTTCTGGTAGCGTCATCTGTGAACTTTTGGACTAATCAAGAGCACAATGATGCACAACATTTTTGCTAAAATTGCAGACCCTTACACCTTAGTTGAGTACACCGTTCTGCTGATGTAAGTACATATTCTAAGTGACATATAAATCCGAACACCCAGTTTAAATGGTTTTATTTTAATAAAATTTTGTATAAGTACTTAATGAAGCATAATTAGTAAATGATAAAAATTTCAAAATGATTGCACTGCTTCAAAGCCCTTTGACCTTTAATAATGTGTGGATGCACGCTGATGTGCTAGGCATTCTCCAACGCGCCTAGCCATGCTTCTGATCAGGTGGTCAATGTCCTCCTGTGGTATCTCATTCCAGGCAACCACCAACTCCTCTCGAAGTGCTTCTACAGTCTGAGGAGGACGTTGCAAATTGAGCAATCTTCTACCCATCATATCCCACACGTGCTCAATTGGGGATAAGTCGGGAGATCTTGGTGGCCATGGTAACAATGTGACATCATTATGTTGAAAGAAGTCTATTGTGACTCTTGCAACATGTGGTCGGGCATTATCTTGTTGGAAAGTTGGATCTGCCAGGGTGTCAAGATAGGGTAAAAGATGGGGTTCTGGAACTTCGTGGATATAACGCTGCGCGTTCATGTTACCTCTGTTGAAGATTAAAGGTGACCTGGAACCATAAGCTATAGCACCCCAAACCATAACTCCAACAGTGTGATGAACATGTCTTTCAACAAAAAACTGTGGATTCCTCCTTTCACCAAGTCGCCTTCTGACCCTTACACCGACGTAATCGCCTTGAGTGGTGCAGACAACGGTCACTCTGGGATCAGGAATGGAACAGTATTGTCTTTAGTGACGAGTCTCGATTTTGTTTAGGCATGCACGATGGTCGTGTCAGGGCGGCTCTCAAGGCTATTCCGGAGAATGCCTTCCGTAACGCCTTCAATGCTTGGAAATCGCGCTGGCAACGCTACATCGACGCAGAAGGAGCCTATTTTGAAAGTTTTTAAAGAATTGTAATGATTGGATCAATAAATTTTTTTAAATCGACTCAGTCTTATTACTTTCCGGACAAACCCTGTATAAAAAAATCGTATAAAAATCAGGTTTGAAATGTTCCGTTTTCATGATACGGGGTTTAAATTATCCAACTTTGATAGTTTACCTTACATTTCTAGAAATTGTATAACGATAAAATTGTTTTCTAAAGCACTGTAAGCAAATCTCTAAGTTTAGCGAAACCGGTTTTTTCCAAAAAATTGGTACTTATAACTATCTCAAAATCATATCGACTCCACTTAAAACCTGCCTCTTGATCTTGAAGTTTTTCGTTTATTTTTAATTATAATCCTTATATTGACCAGTATACATCAATATACAACGAACTTCAAGAAACACTTCTTAGGCGCAATCAACATGGCTTTGAGGAAACGACACTTTTGTAGAAACCACAATCTACAATAAGTTTAAACATCCCGGTATCATAAAAATTGAGTTTTCTGACTTACTTTTTTTCATACATACATCCATATATACAAGTGCTTTTTTAACACTATGTATAATAGTCATAGATAAAAATTACTACTACGTAATTTATTTCAAAAACGAATCTTACTGGATTCACAGCTTGGTCTAATTTTTGGGGGCAATGAACTTCTTCAATTAAATACAAATCATTTTCATAAAGATCGAGCCGTAAACCTCAATAGGTGTAATGAAAAATTGTGTTGCTGGCAAGCGAATTTAAAACCGGGTCATCTTTAGGTCATTTGTCATTTTAAAATGGCGAGATACAATTGCTTCAGGTTTCAACCATCTAATCATATCATGAACCGATAGACATACATTTTTTCTCCATCTACTTATTATAGTAGGAATTATTCAAATTATAAAATCAGTCTTCATTCACATAACACGTATTTTCATGTTATAAAAATTTAATATTCACGATTTTGTTATTAATCTAATATTTTAACTATTCGTAAGGTTAGATATTTTCCTACGTTCTGTTTTGCAGCACCCTGGTGAATTTCACGTACTTTTTCATCCGCCTTCCAAAAATTCTGTTAAAGGCTACGCAAAATAGCAGAATTCAGAGCCTCAAGGATAGGTTGTTGCTTCAGACAAGTGATAAAATAACACA